GCATCCTGACAGGAAAAGAAGTCATCTTTGCACTTAGTGCAGGTTGAGTTCCTCATCCTTTCCAATGCTACCAATTTGGGTTAAAATCTTATATGAAAGTGAGAAATATTTTTAGGTGAATATTTATTTTATCATTTCTGAGCTGTGCTAGATTTGTGTCAATTTTTGTTTGGACTAGCACGTGGAAGTAGAAACTGTTAATAATTCTCCAGTGTCTGAAATAAAGCCCATACTATTGCACTGTGTATGTAATACATGCCTTTTCTGGCTGAATATGAAGTCTGTGCATTCATGGCCGACTTGAATGATTTTCATCCTGCTATTTAAAAGCCCCAGCTTTGTACAGAGTAGTCACTGTAGTCTGTGTTGTAGCTCTTATACTGGATCCATCCTGTGTAATATTTCCATCTAGTCTATTGTTTTGTCTTGTTTCTGTTAAACAGTTGTAAAACAACTGTTTTAGTAGTGGGTGCTTCCTACAGATGAAAAGTATTCTGCAGGGAAGAGCTGGGCAGAGCAATGGCTGCTGCTGTGTCTAGGTGCACCTAGGAGTACCACTTCCCCTTGCAGCAGAGGTAGCCTGACATCGTCCTCACCCCATATGCGGCTGACAGGAGCATCAGATGAGCTCTCTGTGGTGAGTTAAAATGGTGCTCCTACTGCTGAGAGCATGAGAAAAGGATGCTGCTTTGTGACTCAGTGTGGACCACCTGCTGTGTTGCATTGTGTGAAGAAAAATGATAAACAGAATAGATGCTAGGCTGCTGCATGTAAATGGGATAACGTGGGCGCAGAAGACATCAATGATCCAAACATTTTATCTTTTTAAGGCTGTGAAGATGATCCAGCTGTGATGCTCAAGTATGTTCTTAATATTGTTTGAAAAGTTGAAGTGGGAAGTTTAAAATGTGGAGATGTAGCAACATTCTTAACACAGTTAATGGAAAAATATTATGGGGAACAACTGAGGCAGTGTGGACAGGTCTTGGGTGAAGGGGAAAGGTAGCGGAGGGCTAGCAAAACTGCAGTGATGTCTACTTTATAGCAGTTGTTCCTTTAGGAAGCAGAGCAGCTCTGAATAGTACTCTTTTTGATAGTGTGCTTTCTTGTGTTTTTTGTGGCTATGCAGTAGTTTGGAGGAGGGAGAACTCATGATTTGGTTAATGGATCAGGTAATTTGCGTTTGGAACTCACCTCCTGGTCTAGTTCACTACAGCAAAGGGATTATGTACTTTGTGTTGGGGATGACTACTTCCACACGTACTGCTGATTAAAATAGAACCTGAGTCTCCATAATATCATGATTAGTTGCTCAAACTGTAATTCTGTAAACATGATTTGCTTTTCCTTTGTGGAATCTACTTATTTTTACTAGGGTAAGTGTTTGCAAGTTTGGATGGCAGTGAAGATAATGCAATTGACTGGAACTTAAAATAGTAACTTTTCTTAGCTTATTTGTAAAGTAAATTAGGTACTCAAACCATCATGTGGCCTACAGGTACAGTACTGTCACAGTTGAATGGATGTGTTAGGACTAGGAATGAGAGGCTGCCTGTGTTGGCAGTATTGCAGAAGACTTACTTGTCAGATGACGGCTTTGATTTCTTAAGTTTAATATCCATTAAAAAAAAGTACAGATCAAGCTGATCTAACAGTTGGAAGCATTGCTTCCCTAAAAGTGGTGTGTGTAGAGGTGTTAGAATGTCCATTTTTTTTTTCACAGGCATGCAGAATTATTTGTGCACGAGTGCTAGATTGAGGTGTTTGAAAACTTTAAAATGGAGAGATATTCAGTGGTCTGTTTCATGGCATTTAATTTAGGTCAGGGCACTGAAAAAACATCTGCTACCATTCTTGACTGCAATGTTTCTGAGAACTGGAGGGCTGAAAGGACTCTGGTCAATATCCTTAAGTGTTCACAGTAATGTGTCTTCATTTTGTTATAATGAACATAGCAAAATATGTTTCTCCTGTTTTCAGTATTCTACACAGAAACAGTATTCCAGAGGTTACTGAAACTACTGTAGAGAGACTTTTGGTTTGATTAGGGCCAAATTAGGTTTTTTTGCTCTTTCACTAGGGAATTTAGGTAGGTGTGAATATTGAAATAACTTTTTGCCTGCCTTACAATTAGGCATGAAGCATATTGACTAGTACTTATGTGTTCAGTAGATCCGAGTATCAGATCTTAGTCTGATGAGTGTTATTGTTTGAATTGGATATACTAATAACTTGAAATCATTATGTTATTTGCAGAAATCCCTTTAGTTACATAGTTACCTACTCAATTATTAGTGTACCGTTGGTTATCTAAATCCATTTCTAGGTTTGAGCATGGTAGCAGTTGTAAGCAGTATAATTTGATGTCCATCGGGAGTATACATGAGAAGCTTGTTACATAGGAGCATATGGTAAGGCACCACCTCTGGAAATCTACCTTCTCAATTAGAAGTATGATTTCATGCAAAACACAACTTGATGTTTCAAGTTAAATTTATTATTGCATCTCCACAGGGGAACTTTAGATTTGCTGTAAGTATTCCAGGCTGTTTTTCCGAGTTGTTTTGCAAGAGCCAAGTTTTTATCTCTTGAAAGTTTTTAGGGTAAATTTGGTTGTTTTAAAATGCTGTCATTAATTTTTTGTTGTTGTGAAATGGCTTGACAATAGTAGTTCAAATGTCTTTAATTTGAAAATTCAACACATTCTGCATCTTTCAGTGTACAGAGAGAAAGTTCAAACTTTAATTATGCTGTGCCAAACATGAATGGAGTTTGCTTCAGAGAATTTTGGGATCTGTATAAAGGCATGCAGAGCAAATGATAGTTGTTCAGGTTATCAGCCAAATACGCAAACTAGACCTCTCAATCAAGAGGGTTTTTGTGTTTCCAAATAATAACACCACCACTTCCAAATGTGTTTATTTATAGCATTGTTGTTTTATGAGATTTTTAATGTGTTTGAACTTCGAGAAGCCAATTCCTTGTTGGTTTGAACTTGTGTGAATGGGGGTGACTTGAATTTAGCCATTAGATTACATTAAAGGACTAGCTCTGAACACATAGTCCTATTTGTATTTCTTTAAGCAGCAGGACCATAACATAGGCTCATAATTTCTGAAATGGTAGATTGTTTTCCAAAAGGGAAGCAATTGTTCTCAAACACTTTGGACTATTAATGAAAAAGTACTGTGTTTGGTGGCTTCTACTCAGCTATTCTGGATATACAGCATGTTAATGTAAATCAGCAGTTTCTGCTTCTATAAATAAACTTTGTCAGCTGCTGCACAGTAAAACTGACAAGCTTCTGGTCATTTTTCTTATTGCCATTCAGAAATTGTTAGAGTAGCTGTGAAAGTGTCCAGTAGTGTGTATACTTGCTGTAGTGATATTTGCAGACTGAGCTGGGGTTGTGAGTAGGCGGAGGGAAAGAATTAATGCATTTATAAATGCAGTTATAAGTGTGAGAGTAGAGGCAAAGAGCTTTCTATTCCTTCATTTGGGAGTCCTTAAGCTGAGTTTGGAGCTCTTTGTATAAAGACGTGCTATTCTGCTGGCTAAAAGTCATGAGTTGTTAAATGGGGTCTGGGGACAGCATTTATCTAGCTTCTTTACAGCTGGATATAAGGCAGCCTTTACAAGCGTGCTTTTCTGGGGATCATCATCCTGTGCTCTGAGAAGCAGTCTCTTAAAATTTTCAACTCCTGCTGCTGCTGGGTCTGGTTTTGTTTACTGTATGGGAAGGAAATAGCTAGGCAGGGATGCTTCCCATCTACAGCATTCCTCCCCTTCTGCACAATTATGGGAGCTCTTGTATGGCTGAACAGCAACTGCTGCTGTCCTCCTTTCTAGAAACAGAGTAGGAAGTGATACTAGCATGGCCTGCAAGAAGAAAGAATCCTAACAGGCCAACCAGGTTGCCATTGTTGTTTGTGGACACAGGAGAGGTTGCCAGGAAAGAAAAAGTATTGACTATCCTATTTATTGAATAGGATTTAATTGTCTAGTGTCTGTGTTTACGTGTGTGGTTGTTAGGTTTTTTTGGGTGATTTCCTTCCCCCCCACTTCTCATGCCTTGAAGAGTCTCACTACAGGGTCTCAGGAAATAGCCACCTAAGAGTGAAATTCAGTGTATTCCAAAGCCTTGGAAACATGGAAGTTTATCAGCTTAATCATATGTTTTACCCATGCTTTGATTTGTATTCTTTGTACTGAATTAGGTCTGAGTTATGTGAACTGTTACCCAAGGAGAAGCACAGAACCCTGACATCTCTTAGCTTATTATTTTTAATGTGGTTTGAAATGCATGTATGTTTTTAAACTTCTGATGGATATCTTCTGGCTTGATAGCTGAAATATTTTTAGGTCCTCTACTACTAGAAAAACGGATCATATTAATTCTTTAAAGAAGAAAATACAATGTGAAAAAGCACAAAACATTTAAAAAGAAAACATAGACTTGTTCTTTTTGAAAACTATTCCTCTCAAATTTTATTCACCTACCATTTTAAGGGAGTAATTATAGTTCATTCACTGTGAACAACCATTTGTGGCAATAATGAAGTCTAAATAATTGGGAGAGATGAGGAATGTGGTATTTGGCAGATCCTTACAGGCTGTTACGAGTTCTAATTGAAGTACACAGTTTAGAAGAACTAAGCAGTTCTAAGTAATACAGAGTTTACAGCAACTAAATTATAAGTATCTCTGAATGCTTTTAAAGTTTATTGCTAAAATACAGTATAAAAGGTTGCACTTTATTTGATGAAAAGATGAGTGTATTGTATCATACTATCTGTGAGCTCCTATGAAGTATAGAAACTCTTAAAATACGAAGTATCTTTTTGTGGAAGGAATGGAAAGGAACGAAAATGGTAACTGATGTAGAATTAGTTTGACTTGTATAAGTCTTTGTACTTTGAAGACAGGGAAAAGGGGTTCATTCTAAAAATCTTTGTGTGAGAGACTTTAAGTAAACCTTTTATTTCTGCTTTTAGTCAGCAGATAAGCAGCGAGCCCTGGAAGAAACCAAAGCCTACACAACCCAGTCATTAGCAAGCGTAGCCTACCTGATCAACACTTTGGCCAACAATGTTCTCCAAATGCTGGATATCCAGGCATCCCAACTTCGACGCATGGAATCTTCAATCAACCATATTTCACAAGTGAGACTTTTTTCCTGATTCCACCCCTTCTTTGTTCTTGAAATTACATAGCAAGTAAAACTCTCACCTGACATCTTGTGAATGAAAAAATAATCACATTTAAAACAGAAGGATGCATTTCTTATATTAATTCTGGGAATGGGTCTCATTATGTGATTATATATATGTGTTAGTATGAGCATTTTACATAGGATAAGAAGTTCAATATATTCTTGGCCAGTTTATTGTTTGGAGGGGGGCCATTCTGCATAAGGGAAAAGCACAGAGAAATAGCTAAAGGGAAAAATCAGAATATTATGTTAAGGGACAGATTAAGCTTTCCAACTCCTGTTTGGTAACTTACTGTACTTGGTATTTATGGGCTAAAGGCAGTTACAATTAAAAGAAAGGAATATGAATTGGGTGGTGGAAAACAATGCTTCTTATCTTTTAACTTTTCCTGTTTCTGTAGTACTGGCATCTAATGACAAAAAACACAGATGGCAAAAATAGTTTGCTCCTGGCTTTTCTTAATAAAATGTATGTTTCAATGACATGAACAGAACTCAAAATGAATGTTTCAAATTTGTGTATGGCTGCAGAACTCCTGCCGTTGTTGACAGTTTTTTCTGAGCAGTAGAAACTGATAGATTAAAAGAGAAATTAAGAGCAATTGATCCAGTACTTCCTGTTTTTTCTGTACTGGAGAGTTGGTTGGCATCCTTATTGAATGTTTTACCTGATTTGACCAGTACATTTTAGCTAGGGTTTCTTGATCTCCATGTGATAATGTCATCAATTAAAATCAAGAATATTGTGGTATTTGGAAAGACATTTGGAAGAAGTAGCTGTGTAAGGTAAGAAATGAGCAGATTGAACTGATCTATTAACTTGCTGGTGCTGAAAGGTTTGCTAACCTAGCAGAGCTTTGAATCAGCAAAAGAAGTGAATATTTTTATGTTACGTGGATGAGCTGAATTGGCTCACTGAGGGGTCAGATTAATTCTGGACCAGGTGGAAAGGAAGGGGTAGCGTGGATTTTCCCTTCTGGTAGTAGGACCCTGTTAGATTGCCTCAGTTATCTCATGCAACTTCATCCTCAAAATTAAGTTGAGAAGTTTGATTTCTTCTGCTTCATGCTTCTTTTTAATCCACGGACAAGTCAATTTTTTTTTCCCCAGAAAAGGTCTCAAATTACTCGGTGGGTGTATGTGCATGTGTATGTGCTATATATATGCTGTGTATGCGTGCATATAACTGTGTATATATGCTATGTGCGCTTGTGTGTGTGTATATATGTGCTTCTTGACAGAATAGTGACAGCTGACAAGTATTTCAACTCTTTGAGAGCATGATGCAAAAGACAGTATATGAATCAAAATATTTAGAGTTCACTGAATTTCATGTTTTATAGATGCGGAAAGTTCATTTTGTCACAGTTTCTATAAAATAGCTTTGGGGGAAAAAAGCACAGCATTTTAATTTTTTTTCCTTCTGAGAAGTTGAGATTTATGCACCTTGAGATGCTAGGTTAGATTGTCTTTTGCATTTATACAGATGGTTAGTTAGTTCAAATGGAGTACTAAATTACAAGCACCCAACATCTAATAAAGACATATCTGCCAAAAATTGAAAATTAGGTTATTTTTGGTGGGTTTTTTTCTTTTGTGGTAGGTTGGGTTTTTTTGGGGTGGTTTTTTTTGTTTTTTTTTTTTTTGACTCTGCATTATCCATATATAGGATGCTCTCCAAGTTTTCAAAGAAGAAATTGTATCAGAGGAGCAGGCAGTATTTGAATTTTGTCTGTTACATACATGTAATGTGTTGATCAAAGAAACTTTATTAAGTTGAATCTAGTATGTTCAGAAATGGCTTCATCCAATGATACCAATGTTGTAGATGGTTGTATTAGCTGTCTTTAATTTCGTTTAAGAATTAATTTATTTTGTCACAGTTTCTATGTAATAAATAATTTATTTTCAGGGAATTTAATTATAATTCTTCTGGAACAAGCCTAAGCTGGACAAGACTTCCTTGGTCTTTTTTATGTTGGGTGTAAAATTTACTGGGCTATTTCTAGTACTACTTAAGATGTCTCATGATATAATACCTCATTGCCAAATTATGATTTCAGTTAGTCTGACTTGAAATGATGTAAGTAACATAGAACAGAAAACAGGTTGCTAATTCCCATCTGCTCACAGTGCATTACTGCATTAATGCTTTTTGGTCTGTAGCTATTGATACTTAATTTAGAAAACACTAATGCAAATTGTGGTATCTGGTCATGTAATCCTGCTTTTAATTCTGAATTGGAATTCCATATATTCTCCAAAGAAGGGAGCAAAATAATTTGGCTCTTAAAAGAAAACTTTTTTTAAAATGCTTATTTTGTTAAAGTGTAACTCAAACTGGAAGAGATGTGATTAACTTTAGAAGATAAAATATTCTAGCTCTCTGTTCATTGATAGAATGCCAATTTATATAACTTTCTATGTTTCCTTCTAAATACCAACTTAATCAAAGAACTGAAAAGGAAGCTGATACTAATCTGTGGTTTTTCAGATTGTATATAGGTCCTGAATAAGGAAATTGTTACTATTGAAACTATTTTTATGCAAGTGATTAAATGCTATTGGTTTAAAATTTAGGATTACTTTTATTTAGTCTGAAAGCTGATGAATCTATTCTTATTTGCCTTTTTGAACCTAATCCAGAACTAGATGATATGCACTGTTTCATATTCGGCTGAAAATTTAAATCCTAAATACAGATCATCTGTATAAATATTTATACTTATTCAAAAACTGTGTTACAGTTTTCCAGTTAGCAGACACTGTGATATGTTGATAACATCCAAATTCTTTAAATTAACCTGGCAGATTTTCAGGTTTCAACCTTTGTGTATGAGAAGTATTTTTCAGGTTTAGTTATAGAATACTCTTTAGTTAGGAAGGTAATCTTTAAAACGCTTCTCTGCTGCTAATTATATAAATAAAAGCATGTTATCACAAAGATGAATGATAGTAATGAGTTATCTCCAGTGGCACTGCAGAATTTGACTCCCATGATATTGACTGTAAGAACAGGTATTAAATAGAGTGCAGACTTGACCTTCTTTGTAGTCAGCATGTGTTGCTTAGCTGAACCGTAGCACCATGTGTGAGCTGGTTGATCTCTGAAGGGAAGGTCACTAGGACCTTGCACTGCTAAGTCAGTAAAGCCTTCTGACCATTTTCAGTTCTTAGTCTTGCAAGTTACAAGAATAACCAAACTCATTAATAAATGGTAATGTAAGTCTAATTTTCCACAGTATGTATTACGCATTTATGGGGCAAGTAGGTTTTCGGCATTTTTATATCATTATAACCTCTTTGAGTATAAATTGCATACAACTTCAGGCAATTAGAGTCACATTTCTAAAATGTCAAAATTAGACAGTTATTCTTTTTCAAGTAATAATACAGTTTTCAAGTAATTTGCAATTAACTTGTTTAAATTCTATCAAATTTGATTTAAAAAAATAAATAAAAGGCCAGACACTATATTTAAGCAAAGTTTCCTTCAAAGATTTTTTTTTTTTTTTTTAAACTGAATTTTAAAAGTCCAGACTTGACAGTAAGTTGATATGTTTAAATTAGAATGTTTTGAGAAGAGGAAGAGATCATGGCTTCTGGAGACTTTTGTTTCTGAAATTTCACTATAGTTCAGACATTCAAAGTGCTATTGTGGTTTAGTGGCAACTAAGCACCACACAGCTGCTCGCTCACTCTCCTCTCAGCAGGTTGTGGGGAGAGAATCGTAAGAGTGAAAGTGAGAAAACTTGTGGGTTGAGATAAAAACAGTTTAATAATTGAAATATAATAATGATGATGATTAAAAATTTTCATTAAAAGGAAAATAGCAAAGACCAGCAAAACCTGAGAATTGAAGCAAATGAAAACAATTGCTCACTACCAACTGACTGATGGCTGCCCAGCCAACCTACCCTCAGCTTTATATGCTGAGCAGGACATCATGTGGTGTGTAGTCTCCCTTGGGTCAGTTGTCCCAGCTGTGTCTCCTCCCAGTGCTTTGTGCACCCTCAGCCTACTCGCTGGTGGGGTCGTTTGAGAGGCAGAAAAGGCCTTGACTCTGTGTAAGCACTGCTCAGCCATAGCTAAAACACGCCTCTCTTATCAGCACTGTTCCCAGCACAAATCTGAAACATAGCCCCTTATTAGCTGCTATGAAGAAAATTTACATGATCCTAGCCAAAACCAGCACAAGTGCTAACATAATACCTTGAGAAATTTCACTTAGAGTTAGAAGAGAATATTTCTCAAAGCTGATTTCAGTGACTTTTAGGTGAAGTGGTTAATTTTGGAAACTCAGAAATGATTTAATGTTTTTTCTATTTTGATCTTTACAGATCTTGAGGCTGTTGTTAGTGAATTCAGTATGGAAACTTGATGTTTCAAAATGACCAGAAAATTCCTAATTAAAAAAAAAAAAAAAGGAAAGTATGGATTTTTAGTATTTTTTTTTTTTCCCCTTGGCTTATTGCAGGCATCTTGGAAACCATATGAAAACATTATAGTAATGAGCCCAACCTTTAACAAACTGTCATTTTAAAGGTTTTGCCAAAGGAGCTGGGAGGTGGTGGTGGTTTTGGAAGCTGTCAGGAGTCTGAATCTTCTTGTTAAAAAAACTGTGCTTTTAAGTTATAGAAGGGCACAGTGTATCCCATCTGCTTTTTCTGACAGACTTTCCAAGCCAGGTGTTCTGTTAGTCCAGCTCTAATCCTCATATCTTCTCAATAGAAGCTTCCCAGCTGCTGAATAAACATTCTGCTAGCATTCTCCTGTCTCAAGGGATTTATGCTAGTGCTGGAGGCAATAATTACCTGTGTTGAGGAGAAATTATTTCATTTTCTTTAGTAGTAGGTTAATCTTTGATCTGTTCTTTACTAATAAAATACCACAATGTTCCTTTCTTCTGTTTTATAGGTGACTTAAGAACTTATGACTCCTGTAGTCTACTAAGCAAGAAAATGAAAATTTTTATAAACCTCCCAGCAAAATATTAAAAATAAAATAATAATTCAGGAGTATGTAATGGAGTTAAGTGCTGATTTTATGTTCTTAGTTATTCCATAGCTGTACAATGCAAAAGAGATGTTCTGAATCATCATCCAAGAGAATTCCCATTAGATGAGCTTCAGGATTTAATTAGCTTTTATGCATTTCATTGTTTGGTGCTGTAGTAATGCCTCACTGATCTCTGTAGTCCTTAAAGAAGCTGGTTGTACTCATAACTCCTATGAATAATTAAAAAACCTGTGCTTTTCATTCATGGAAACAAGTTTTCACAGTGCCAAGATACCATCACTACAAGAGTATGTGCATTATCTGTACTCACACTGTATTTATGGATAATTGCATAATTATCCATATATACTAAAATATACTAAAAAAACATCTTTAAAGTTGCAAAGGTCAAACTCTTGGAAAGAAAGGAAGAAATCATCTTGCCAAGACTGCATTAGTTTCTTTATTTTCTTTCTGATTCATAGACTAAAATTAAGGCTCTGAAAATGTAGTGACCAAGGCATAAACTAGTTTTGAATGCCCAGATTCAGACCCATAAGATTTGACGTTTCAGTACATTTGAAATGTCACATAGCATTTGAGGTGCAGCTGCTGTTGCAGCTGAGGTGGTTTAACATTCTAGCAAATGGTATCGGAGGCCTCTGAGACAAAGAGCATTCAAGAGGCAGCGTAGTATTTCTGCAGTTCTGTAATGACATGTCTGGATCACAGATGAAGTCTGAGATCATTGCAGAGATTGAATTCTTCAGTGGTATTAAACATGGGACTGTCCTCCAAGTTGTTGCAATCATGTATCATTAGCTTATCAAGCAAGTATGTGCTGTCTTACTATTCAACGAATGAGCTGAGGATTTTGTAGGCTCTCTCTATAGTGTTGACCGCTGCTTGTTCTAGAACTTCTCCTTCCACTATGCTGGAAAAGCAAAGGTTTTGGCACAGAGAAGGGATAAAAACATGTGATGGAAGATAAAGTATTAAATCCTATCCTGTTGCAGAATGGTATACTTTTGGTACTCTGGTCAGGAACATGCTTATGTGCTCTGTTTGCACTTGTGCTTGTACAGCCAGTAACATCGTAAGAGCTGTGAAGATCTGATTTGTACTGCTGTACTGGGGGATGGTACACAGACCAGGTCATCACAGGGAGCTTCAAGAAGGACTTTGGCAAAAATGTTTGGAGACTGGTTTTATTGTTAAGTAGTCATAGAAATATGTATGTTTCTGCAGAGTTTATATATTAGCCAATCCTGTTCAGGGTTTTTTGAGGGTGATGGGGGATGTGTCCCAGATAGTTCACTACCCCTATTAAATTTCAAATCATTGCTCAACAAACTTGAGCTTTCAATAGAGAGACTTGCCAACATATTTTGACTTTGGATTATCTACTTTTCTGTAGCTTTGTTTTAAGAAATAGCTGTGCAGCTATAGTAGAAACTTTACAGTTCTGGGCAGGCAGTACTAGAGGTGGCAGAAATGTACCTGACAACTGTATTCAGTGCATAACTTTAACAAATTTGCAAGATCTTGAAAATATGTTACTAGGAAGTACTAAGTAATCTTGATACATAGTAATTTAAGCTTCCAATATAATGCCCTTTGTATTCGTGGAACTTCTCTGGAAACAATGTGAAGAAATAACTTCTTTGAAGTGGCTTTTTGTTTCTTTGGCTTTTAATTTTTGTAGTTTTAAAGGTTGTGATGGTTGCACAAATACAGGGTCTGTTTTGCTTGGTTTTGCTATCAGTAGCACAAACAAAAGGGTAAAACAGTGTAAACAACCCCACTACCCCAGTCCTTGCCCACAGGGAAAAAAAGAAGGGTTAAAAGAAATGTATGTTATGAAAGTGAATTCTCATTTGTTCCTGTTACTTAGTTGCTACAGAGCCTGCCTCCTAATTGTGAAAAGTATTTCTGATGCCATTCATGTACTAAAGCAGTAACAAGAAATCATATGAATGTATAGAAATCCTAATGATGTGTCCTTTTTTTGGCTAGGATAAGAGTTGGTGATTCTGGCTGTCTTATCTTTTTTGTTTGTTTGTTTTTTTGTCAGCCTGTAGCTGAAATGTTTGTTCACAACACTGGCAAATTTCCTGTGAGGAAAGCTGTTTTGTGAGCGAAGAATTATTTTTGTTTTAAATGATGCAACAACGCTGTGCAACATGATTTAAGAGATTTTGTTTTCCTGGGAAGAATAGATAAACCTTTTTTTCCTAGTCTAGTTACCAACGAAGATTCAAGAACATGTTTTTAGGCAATAGTTTTTCATCAGGGCTTTATCTTACACTAGAGATTCTTCGATGGTACTTGTAATATGTGGAGGAAGGGATTTTCAGTGTTGGTCTTGGACATTCTAGGTGAAGACAGTGGGCTTAACCACTGGCTTCATTGTGGACAAGTCAGTACTGAGCACTTCCTAAAATCTAATCATTGCTTTGTGATGAGTGATTTGTAATGACTTAAATTCCTTATTGATTGGTCTGAGTGAAAATTTATTCTATTATATGACTACCAGTCCTAGTTTAGCAAACTGTTTTATAGTGTAAGAAAACCTGTTTATGATTTATTTTTCAGGTCATAGAAGTTAAGTTTCGGGAAAGTACCCTTAACCTTCATCTAGTTGGAACCTATTTCAAAACAAGCTTAGAGAGTAACTGTAAAATTAAAAAGGGTAATTGAAGGAATTGTATAAAAATGTGTCAGTAAATTGATGGGAACTACCGGGGATGGAAAGGAGAAGTAATTTTGCTGAACTCTAAAGAATTAGAGTAACAGAGAACCCATAGCTATTAGTGTGGGTTTAGAGGTGGCAAGTTCAACAGTAAATTGAACAAAGATGATGGAATCAAGTATATGTAGTGAAATGTTTAGCACAGTGCACAGGGATCTTCAAAACGTTGGAACTGATTCAGTTTTCTTTTATACTGACTCTGTATTCAAATGCATACCACTGTTAGTAAATACACTGCGTCTTTTGTAGACGGTGGACATTCACAAAGAAAAAGTTGCTAGAAGAGAAATTGGTATCTTGACTACAAACAAAAACACCTCAAGAACTCACAAAATCATTGCACCAGCTAACTTGGAGCGACCAGTTCGCTACATCAGGAAACCTATTGATTATACAATTCTAGATGATATTGGACATGGAGTGAAGGTAGGTGATATTGTTAAAACAGCCAAACTGCAAATACATTGTCTGTTTATATTTTCAAAATAACTTTCTGTTTTTTATAGTAATATACCAGTTTCTCCTTGCTTAGCCAGTGTGTCTATAAGCATAAGAGGAGTCCTGTCCAATTTTCAGCTGCCTCTTCTTGTTCCCTTGCCCCAGTGTTCCTAAATCTTGCAAACCTACTGAATCTTACTTCTGAGGATATTTGAGACTATGGGTCTCACCTTTTAAAATGGTTCTTAATGCCTGCTTGTGTTATGCTGTTACTATTTTTTGAATCAGTTGCCAGGGATATACCTGGGGACTGAAAGGCTAATGACCATCACTTTTCTGCCTGAATTAGCACCACAAAGTATGATCCAGCTGTAATTGCCACTGGTTTACTTTGAAGCTCACCCAAAGAAAGGGTTTGCATGAGAAGTATTATTTGCCCCCTTTTCTTCCTTCTCAGTCAGTTATACCCATATCCTGTGATGTGCTTTGTTTAAAGTGAGCACTGTACAACTTTAGTGCCATATGGGGTTTCAGAATGGGAATACTGCTGCCAAGTTTGAAGCCAGCTGGTTTCTTCCATTTAAGACTAGGTAAAAAGGAGTCATTTCAGGGCAAAGATCAGACTGAAACACAACTGGTGGCTGTTGTATGCAAGTGTTAGATCAGAGTACACAACAGCAGTAATATCATGTGTGAAATTATTTATGCACATTTTTAAAACACATCCTGAATGTAAACAGAGTCTTAGCAGGTGTTGAGCTCATTGTTAACTTGTGCTGCCAGGAAAACAAATATGGAAAAGAGAACACTGACAGTGTTAAAGTTCCAGGAGAAAAAAGGTAAATAACACAAAGCGGTGTCATTTTCACATGAAAAACTAACAAATCTGTAAACCTGCTAAGTAGCAGTAAGGTAAGGTGCTTCTTCCAGTCAACGTACACCAGAATTTCTTTTGCTTGACACCTAACTGCATTAGGTTATCTGTGTTGTTCAATTTGAACTATCTGCTTTGATAGCCATTTAAATGGCTATAGATTGTTTAACCAAACTCTTAAAATTCAAATTCTGAACAGTCTGATTTAAATGTTTGCCAAGCAATTTTTCTCAAGGTCTTTCAACATCCTGCTCATTAACAGAAAGTCTTTTTTTCCCCATTTCCTACCAAAAGAGTCAATCTCAGTTTGTAACTCTAAACAGATTTTAAAAAGGACAAGTGACTCTTTAAGCTTGATTTGGAAAACCAAAGCAACAAACCCCAGCATTAATAACTACAGTTTTGACCCAGAAATTATTACCAGTCTTGTGTTAAAATCTACTGCTAATTCTTACAAATTTCGAATTTATGCAGGTCAGCAGAACTCCTTCTGGATATGGATGAAGCATATTAACCTGTAGGATTACTGTTGCTAATATTTTAATGATCACTTTTGTTTTGAGGAGATTATTTTAGAACTCATTAAAGTCTAGTTTTAGTTTTTAATTGCTCTGCAGCACAATCTTATTTAGCACAGGCTCTAAACCATTATAACTGGTATCTCACTTACCTCAGTGTAGCAGAACCATACTCACTGATGCAATGAAATATGTTCTTCTGCAAGAACATAGTTCATCAAATGGATGATGAGTCAAATGTGTATTTGCATCCATTTCTTATGCTTGTGGTATGCTGAAAACATTTTACAAATGATATTTACAATGTATTGTATTTATCAAGAAAATGAAAAAGTATTGTGTACTTGTGAAACAGTAAGTGGAGAACTTGAAATCATGCTATCCTTAAAATCCATAGATGTGTTCCAATCATGTTAATCCTGTGTTCAGCACAGAAGAAACAACTGTTCTCTTGCTGATGGGAGGAAATGGCCAGTTGTGCTTATGAACCTGTTGTTTTTGTTGTGCTTGGCCAAGAAATCCAATATGCTATGTTGAGGTAGTATAGGCACCTGAGCACCTATTCCTTCCATTCAGAAATTCAAAGCATCTTCAGGAAGAGGTGCTTTACTGTCTGGTTTCTTAAGAGGCGAGAGAAAATTTAACTGCCACTATATCTTTCCAGCAGTCTCTCCTCATCTTCCCTCCCTAAGCTACAATGCTGCAGAAATCTAAAGATCTCTCTAAAAGAGACTTAATTTCAAATTTTTTCACTTGTTTTCTGAGTTACAAAGTCTTCTGATCTGTTCATCCCTCCTAAGAGCTCTTTAGTCAAGAGGATGGGGGGGGCAGGGGAAAGAAGATCCATTCAAAGTGGTGTATTAAGGCACTGTAATAATCAGAAAATGCTGCTGAGGAAAAGGTCTCTGCTCATGGACCCTCTCATGACAACTCTGGCCAGTACAGGGGGACCTGGTTTTCCCATGCTGCTGTTTGAAGCAGAGACCGTTTTGGTTAATAGATCTGTGGCATTTTAAACTCAAAGACAGGAGATTTTTCTAGTAAATCAGATTGTTTCTTTTTTGAGACATTAGGGTCTCTTCTAAGTGGATGAAACAGAGTAGTTGCTCTGGATGTTCCACTGCTGGGATTCTGCATATTTAATGTTTGCTGTTACAAAAAGCGTAAGCTATGCAATGATACATTTAGATTAGCTGAACTGAAAAGAGATCAAATGACATTGAAATGGAAAGACTAGTATTTCTGAAAAAATGGTTGTGCGGAAGGAAGAGAAGATACATGCCAGTAAGGTGTAGGACTCAGTGTCAAAAAGCTAGCACTTGGGCTTTAAAATAAGATTTAGCTGTTGGTTAATGTCTTAAAATATAGTTTAGAAAATACTGGTACGTGGTGCAGTATCCCTGTAGAGTGCCGTACTTCTTACAAGACATAATAATTTGCTCTTGCCATTTGTTCAAGAGAGATGTCATGGCATCAGGTTAAGAGTTAACTAACAGCATTGTCTAGGAAAGAAATACTAGCTGAGAACAGAAATAGTAGCTTAATATTCTAGAGGCTGTTGTAAATATGTTAATGCATAGAACAGTTTAAATGAGCTCAGGGTATTGATAAGGCTATTCTGTGACAGCTCAAATAAATTAATCTCTGAAATTAATCCATTTAGATCTCACGATTTATTCTGAAAGAAGCTGACTTTTTGTTAGCACTGTAACAACGTGTGTAAACAGTGTACAAGCATTAGAGCATTAATTTTAAGGTGTTAACCTAAAGGCTTTGTGGTCAATGTATATTAAAAGTTTCAGCTTGAAAATCTTTTTGTTCATGACACATTCTGCTTTAATCACTCTTTCTATGATCTACTGATACATTATTTTGTTAATGCTGAATGCTTAACTTTTTTCTTTCTTTTTCCTTTCTCTTCATATCCTGAAGTTCCAACTAACCTTTCAATGCTTTTTTTCCTTACCTCTTTTATTTGCTCCATTTATGCATTAAGTGGTTGCTTAGATTTAAGGTAAGAAACCCCAGGGCTGGATTTCCATTCTTATTCTTCTGAGATTATTACACACGGGGAGATGATTAACATGAACGTTACTTGATCGTTTAAAACAACACCCACTCTCCCTTCTGTGTGTCAGATCTTCTGTTGAATGATTTCATTGCAGATAAACAGTTTGTGGTATAAATTGATGTATTTATGTAAGGAAGCTAACACAGTTAATTTTAAAAGATTTGTGGCAAAATATTAACTGCCTTCAGCGTACCTACTAGATGCTCTACAAGGGAGGAATGTTGTGCTAATCTTGTATACATAAAAAGGTACAGTGAATTAGGCAGCTGAATATGAGCCTCCCCCTGTGTAATATTCTTTTTATCCTATATGCGGTGTAAGGTATGATTTGATTTGGATTAATGTTTCAGTGTGAGATTGCCCAGATAATGGGCTCCAAAGGTGTGTAACAAATTCAAATCTCTATGTTATTTTTTAAAGTTGCAGTATCCTTAATTTTTTCAGAAACTGCTAGCACAATTTAAATACTGAGAGGCATTCATATGTGGAAACTTTCATGGATTTGATAGTTGTGCAAAATATAACTCCTAAACAACAAGCTACGTGATACATTTTAGTTGAATATTAAATGAATAGTGCATCAAAGAACTCGGAGAGAAGCATGTAAAATTCTCAAGTATTTTAAAAAGGTTTAAATGCTAGTAGCCTTAGGGGCTGCAGAAGTAACAATAAAAAGCATCAAATCAATTAGACAAGCAGTTAAATAATGTTACATGATACTATGTTGGACTTCCATAGCACATTAATTGATAGATCATAGCCTTCATAGAGTATTGTGACATTTTCTTCTTCCTGAAGTGCTACTGGTTTGGGGAAAGAGGGAGCGAAAGTTTTTTATTAGCAGCCACCACAGTTTTAAAGAGAGAGCTGTATTTAGGAACACAGAATACTAATATGTAGTATGAGTATGTTAATTAAATGAAGTTCCAGGTTAATGTGAAATATTTTTCATGACTAAGTATTTTCCATGACTGGAAAAAGCTAAAGAAAATCCTGCATATTCCTGAAAAGATTGCCAGTAAAACCAGGTATTACTGTAGCTATCCCAATGATGTCCTGTTGGAATTGGCCAGGTGGTACTTTTAGTAATGTATCTAAGTCTATGTAGTACGTCTGATCATGATGGAAAATGTTTTATAAATGAGAGATTTCTTCTATGTTATTTGAAATATATTTTACATAAGTGTGTGAGGTATGTTATTTCAAGTCCCATAGTGTTTAAATGCTTTTTATTAGAGAATTGCAAAATCTCTCTCCTCCCTGGCTCTTTCTGTCTGTACCCACACAAAATGGATACATCTAATGCTGAAGATAGCTTATTCTGAGCACAGTTCATATTGGATGGCCGTTTTTGTAGTAATCTTAAAAAAAGCAATTTGCAAACTTGGTTTTGTTTATTGCTCTCTGCGGTTTTGGTTATAAACAAGTAATGACCATTCTAAAATAAAAAATATATAGATATAAAATAATAGATTTTATGTGAGGTGCTGTGTCAGTTCATCTACTGTGGTGATAAGAGTCTTCAGCTTTTTGGAGAAAATGATTTTTTTCTATTTATAGGTTTGGAATGAAAATAACATGTTTTTGTTATAATACAAGTTAAAATGTTTATTTATTTTTACTAAAGTGAATCTGATCAGAAATTTGATTTGGGAAATCACAGTATGTCAATCAATTTCTCACTGCCAAAACATGAGCCCTTAAAAAAAAAAAGAAAAAAGGCATAAAGCGGGGTAGTATATCTTAGTGGACATTAGTTGCCCTTTAAATCTCGCTAGAGTCGCTGTGCATCGGCTTGAAGAGAAGAAAACTAAAAGGTAGCTACTAACCCTAGTTCCATGTGAATAATAATTTTACTTCACTTACGGGAGATTGGATATGACATGTTTAGCCTGCATTTATTTTTCATGGCTGCAAAGAACCCTTAGTCTTAGTTAACGGTTGCAGTAGTAAACTGACTGACGGTAGCAGGGCTAACTGCACTTGTGTCTAGGTAGGTTAAACTTAAACAGATTTTGAAGAAAATGTCAGTTAGAAGTCAAAGGAATATATGTAGCATCTGCTGCCAGCAGATCAATTGAAGATGATGTTGTTTAAGCCTTTTTAATTTGCTAGACTTGGTTCTTCAATTACTTTACATAGGTTGATGTAAAAACAAGTTAACTCACTTGCTGAAGCTTCATCTTGTGGTCATTTGCCAAGACGGGGTTGCAATTTATATATTTCACTTCCATGTCAATTGGTTAATCAGCTGGCAAACGTATGATTTAATTAAATATGCAGAGTAAGTATTCAAGTGGCTGAGCACAGCCTGAAAGGGAATTTACTTTGAGGTAGCAGATGATGGGTCAAAAATCTATTCATCCTCTCTGTAATGTTAACAAGACGAAGAAAAGTTTTGGAGAGTAGTTTTCATTTAGCCTTGACTTATTTTTTACTGCAGTCAGATATAAAGTTGCTCAAGAAGGTTGGGTAGCTGCTTGAAGTTTCTGAATAAGATCCATGGAACATCACTGATGGGACACTCTTACTAGATTTTGGGCAAAACATGATTTTTTTTCACATGCTGAAAGTTCTAGACAATCTGATGTGACCATAAAGCACCACTTAAAAATTTCTAGGTGGAGTCTAATTTTAGCTTTAGAAAGTAGCTCCTCCTGAGGTTTGAGTGTGTGGAATGTCTGGTATTCAGGATTCTTGGGGGGGTGGGGTGGGTGAACCGAAAACAGAAAAAAACCCAACCCCCAAAAAAGGCAAACAAAACCTAACAACAAACCAAGACACTTTGTTTTGGTAATTGGACTGACAATGAGATGTTCTGCAAAAGACTAAAACGTGGATTAAAATCTTGTTACAGGTAAGTGCCTTGCAGCCATGTAAATACACAGTGCTTTGGTATAAATAGTTTTTGCACCTCTGATGAGCAGCTCTTACATCTGTCCAACGATAAGCTTCTGCATTTCTTGTTCAGTGAATTTATTTTGCTCATGAAAACATTCTTAAGAACTGAATTGAATGAACTGCAGGATTTCTTATTGTTAATCTGTTTATTTCACTACAAATTTCTTATACAGTGGAGTGCTAAAGAAGCTTATTCTGTTAAATGTTTATAAAAATATAACCATGAAGGAAACTCAGTCATATGTAGCACCATAAGAAGATGATTTATTTAATCACTGGGATGTATGAAAAACGAATTGCCAAAAATAAAAATTGGACAAGTAAGTCTTAATTATTCAAAATTAAGCTTAATGATAATTTTCTAAGGGCTGTAGTCAGTCCTGTATCATGTCTTAAAGTATTCAGAGGTTACCTTTCTAAAACTGACAATGTAGATCAGTATAGAAAATACTGGATGAAATATACTATGGTACCCTTTTTAAACAGTGGTCCATAGTTGGTAGTATTTTTCTTGCTTCTGTGGGAAGAGGCAAAAAAAAGGAAAAATCCCTGCATGTGTTCTGCGTAGACCCCATGTGCTACTTGCTGTTCACAGGGTTGTCTTCCCATTTTTAGAACTCAGCTATTTTTTTTAATGAGCATTGTGCCCAAATCATTACCACTGTCTTAATTTTTTCTTTTTTTAGCACAGTGGTTAGCTGTTTTGGCAGTTGTGAGCAGAGGCAAAGATAATCCTTTGTGTTTCTGGCTGTAGACTCTATTTTGCCACACAATTTCCTAAAAGAATTTGCAAGCTTTAAATACACACCAACCATAGATCTATGGGGTCCTGCAGTCAAACCAGCCACCAGCAGACAGATGCATTCCTCTGTTTTCACCCTCTAATTAAACCAGTTGCATCTGGATAGTTCCAGCTGTGCAGAGCTAGGGGAAATGTGGTCAGAAACCAGGTGACCTCTGGAAAATTCCAACTTACTCCAGAAAAGGGATTTAGAAACTCGACAGCAAATGCAGATGTGACCTTAGTTCTGGTGGTTGCTTTGTAAGATTTGTAAAAGGGATGCGTGTGGGTGAGAATTTGTGTATGGAGATGATCTTTACAACCATATGTGCAAAATGGAAAATGCAATAGAGTAAAATTTTGCAGGAGGGGGGCATTAATGGCTTTCCTTTCTTTTTTCTTTATTCTTCCACACACCCTCCCCTTTTTTTTTTTTTTTTTTTTTTTATTTTTTCCACCCTCTTTTCCCCCTCCTGGTAGAAGTCATCATAAAAGGGAACAGCTGGAAATGTTAGTGTTTGTATCTCAACTGAAGTTGCAACTCTGGTTTTAAGTTTTATTTTACTTCTTCAAGGCAGTCTGTAAACTTTTTTTAGTGGTTTGCATGATATTATTTCCACAGATCTGTCCATTTTGATCAGAACTGTTGGAAAAATGTTACATTCTTTATTTCTCTTCTGTGATTATTTGGCTGTAAGTCAATGGGGAAGTTACCGTAGCTGATCTTAAAGCCATCAGTGCTGTCAGATTTGAAGACAGCCCTGTAAACTTTAATTACTTGGTCTTTCAACATTTTGATTTCAATGTTGAAAAGTCATTTCAAAGAGCCTGAAACTAAGCTTACTGTCAGTGCATTTCCCCATCTTTCATTTTAGTCTTTCTTAAGGATGACTGCTTTGGGAGGGTAGTTTCTTGTCTAAAATAGGAGCACTTCTTCTTTGGCTACATTTTCTAAAGCTTGCTTCCCATCCAATGTCAAGGATATATTTATTTGCAGTGTTAATGTAAATAGTTACTCCAGCAGTCACTGGAGTTCTGTGTTAGGCAAGTATTACTTTGAAGTGTTACTGTACACTGTGTGATGCCACTGCAGTCTCCACCTCTACTGTCCTTTCTTTTTTGTAGCTCTAGCCCAGTGGAAGCCTAAACCATCATTTTTGTTCCTGCAGTGATTGTATACAAATAACAAGAGTCTGTATGGTTAAATATATGGAATCTTATATTAACTGTAAAATGATAGTTAGTGGTTACATCATCTGGTCAGAACCAATAGTTTAAAACACCTAAATGGACTTCTCAGGGGCATGCAGATTGGTCGACATCTGCTGTCATCTAAAGACATCCAAAACCCCTGCCCCAGTAGGCTTAATAGGCAGTTTGACATATAGGAAGAGACAATGCAGTGAGTACAGTGGGATTTTTTTGTTTGTTGGTTTTTGGGCAACTCAAATAGGTGGGTGGGTAAAACAGGTGTCTTTCTTTGAAGAGGAAATACAGGAGTGCTGCAACTTTAAAAAAAAATAAATCAGATTTTGTGCTATTTCTTAATGTTCCGTGTATAGAATAAAACATTTTACACTTTCCCTCTTCCCTTCAAGTAGTTGTAGTTCAGTGCTTACCTCATCCCTCACTTGAATTAACTTTAGATTTCTTGTTGCTTAGAGTTGGCTTAAAGGACTTTATAAGACTATGCAAAAGAGTGTCTTAAATTGACACTATGAAGTACTCTTGCACAACTAAATCCAAACATCTGATTTTTGAATCTGACAAAAAAACCCAAAATCCAACAAAACTACTTCCAATGCTTGGTTTTCTTTTCGTTCCAGCAGATTGAAGATGTGATAGCACTGGGATTATTTGGAGCCAGGGAATCAAGTTTCAGTGCATTAGAATATTGAATATATTACCCTACACTGTTGGCAGTATTTATAAATTCACAAATCTAAACATTCAAGGTCATGTCAGGGTTTTAAATGAGTTGTTATAGTCAAATTTTAAAGGAGTAATTTGCCTTTAATGATGTTTGCAAATACTCTTAATACCTCTGTCTTTCTTTCATATATGGGAGGTGGAGAGAGTAGGCAAGACTTACATTTTGGAAGTAAGAAACACTGCGAAATAGAGCATGACAGAACAACAGAAAAAGTGATGTAAGCATGCTTATTTAGGTTTATTGAATATCCCTCTGTCTGAGCATTAGTTTGGGCGTTCATAAATCACAGCTGTTTAGTAGAGACTTGTAGGAAGACCATGCATTGATTCCTGTAAGGGTATATGTGTGCGAGAATTATGCTTGGTTGGCATAAGCAAAATGCCTATGTTGGTAACAATTGTTTATGATTGCTAGACTGGTTGATCAGTCAGAAATGCAGATGAGTTTTTAAAAGAAGTTAAATTATTTTATATAAAAGTTACTTCATTAGTATTTTACCCTGAAAGAGGGGGAGTGGGCAATTGCAATTACATCACATAACTTCTAAATATTTTTCTCCCTATCCATTTATTTATCAATTCTTAGATATGAAATTGCTATAGATATGGTAGGAGAAAAATTACATCTTTTTATTTTTCTCCATATAGCTTTCTCTCTAGGTTTACAAATAGATAATATTTACAATAAATATTATCTTAAAAAATTGATATCATACTGTGAAAACATTGACCTAGTAACGGATCATATTTGGAGGTTACTTTGACCCTTCCATATTTGTATGGATTACATTGAATTGTCACCTATCAGATAAACCTTAGTATTTTTAAAGAGTATTCAGAAATACTTCTGCAAACCTACCATTCAGTATTGCAAACTAAGTGTCTTTTATCTCAAAAGATGACTGGGAGGTTTAACGAAGTTAGATGTAGTGTCTGTATTGTTAGTGATTTGATGCTTATATGATAGCCTAAAGGCAAATTCACTCTTTGAACATACAATTTTTTAAAACCCATATAATAAAGAGTCCTTTGAGCACAACTCTTGACTTCTAGCAGAGTGGAAATTGCATATAAAATGCATGGCCTCTCAATTTTTTTTGTTCATTTTAACTTTTCCCTACTTAGAGTTAATTGCTAAAGGCATCACAGTGTCTCTCACCATAGAAGCTGAGCTTAGTGAAGGATGTTTTTCTCCCCATTCTTTCATGCAGGTCAGCACACAGAATATGAAGATGGGTGGGCTGCCTCGTACAACACCACCCACCCAGAAGCCACCAAGTCCACCGATGTCAGGAAAAGGAACTATTGGGTAAGTGAAGTTACCAAATCTGTAAATGGTTGGTGAACAAGAGGGGGGAAAAAAGGGAAGATTCTTTCTTTTTCTGTAGTGGGTTTGATTTTGTTTGTTTGATTTTGGTTTTGGATTTGTTTTAACCATTCACAAAAGTCAAGAGGTGTTATGTTCTCATTCTCTTATACTGGTCATGTCTCATGTATCGATTACCATGTTTCTGACAGAAGACAGTGGGCGTCATTACTTTCCCAACAGGAACTTTTTTATCATTGCAGAACACTTACAACTATGTGCTTTAGAGTAAAAAGTCAGTAACTCTGTGGCTTTGACAGGTGGTGCTAAACAACTGGAAAATTAGTATGTGGCACTGTTCATTAATTATTTATGCTGTGTGTGATGAAAGTGCTTTCCTGTTAAGTCTGTGAACCTGACTTTGACCTTAGGAGTGTGTTATAACTGGGATGAGTACAGTTTGTTGGTATACATACAAACTGTGGTGTTTTATTTTAAAACAAGATATGGATTACTTTTAAAACATGAAGGAGATGCGCAACACAGAGTTTATTACTAGGAAGCTTGAAGTACATGAAGAAATCCTTAATGGTTTTTTCTCATCCTGTGAAGTAGATACAGCAAACATACAGGAAAATATTACTTATTTTTTTTATCTTCGATTACTGATTAGTATGTAGCTGTCTTTTAAAGAATGAAAAATCTTTAGGTTTGTCTGTATTATCTTAATTTGCTTCTGATATATGCTTGTCCTTGTGTAGGCGTCACTCTCCCTATCGTACATTGGAGCCAGTACGTCCTCCAGTGGTACCAAATGACTACGTGCCTAGCCCAACACGCAATATGGCTCCCTCACAGCAGAGCCCTGTTAGAACTGCTTCTGTGAATCAGAGGAATCGCACATACAGGTATTCAGTGTAGTGCTGTACAGACTGTGGTTAGTATTGTATAAGCATATGGACAATAAAAGCTGTCATAAATATCAAATCCATCTGCACCTCTACAGTGAAGCCTGCTAATTTACAATATGGACTTGGAACATCATTTGGCATGATGAGAATGCACTCTAATAAACCCAGAATAGTGAATCATTGTAAGATTGTTCACTTAATCCCCTTGTCGCCTTAATTTTAGTGCCATTGCTTAGTTACAATGCTTAGTTACTAAAATTGTGAAGTCTTTCAAGTGGGTAGATAGTGATATTTTAAGAAATGCTTACAGAACTGGGAAAAGACTTTGTACACAACTTGCTTTCTACACGTTGAAGGACTGTACAGTATGCTTATGGTCACATTTTTGTTTGAACAGTCTTTGATGTTTATAGATTGAGTAGCTGAAAAAGAGCATTGTATTTTGAGGATATTGGTAACAACGAGCATAGAATAAAAGCTGAATTGTATTACCAAAGATTCTGCAGAAGGCTAGCATTTTCTGTAGAATAATAGGTTTAATGTGACAGGTCTAAATACTTCCCTTGAAATCTTTAAACATCGTAAGTACTTGAGGATGGCACAACAGATAGACTTAAAATGTAAGAAAATCTGACTTTTACTTTATTATCTTAAAATTTCCGGATTTTAGTAGTCTCATGTGAAAGCATACAAATGGGGGTCTAAACAGTCTACATGTTTTATGATTTATAGGAAAAAGGTCTGCCTTTGCTCAGTAGGGGTTTAACAACATTGGAATGCTGTGCTGTGGAACAAGATTGCAGAGGTGTATCATTTTTGGGCAAGTTCACTAACTGAAAAACCTGTTATGTTGTAGTCAAAGTGAAGAGTTTTAGGAAAACTTAGCTTTACTTAGGTCTGTATCATCCTTGTTTCTTTTCTCTTTTTTGCTGTTAGTTCTCAGAATTAGTAAGGTGCTATATGAGGGATCTTATGTTTCAGCATGCACAGCAGCATATTCATACCATGGGTTATTTTGGTTTCTTACAGCAGCAGTGGGAGTAGTGGAGGAAGCCATCCAAGTAGTCGGAGCAGCAGTCGAGAGAACAGTGGAAGTGGAAGTGTGGGTGTTCCTATTGCTGTTCCTACACCATCTCCTCCCAGTGTCTATCCAGGTAAGTGGAAACTTACTGTTCCTCTTTCTGACTCGGCATTAACCTTTAGCATTTGCAAGTCTCCTAAACCCCAAGGGAAGACTCAAAGTTCATTATCCAGAAATACGCAAGCCTTGAAAATTGCTTGCTATTGAAAGTACGAGTTTGAATCAAGTAATGTCTTTTCTGGGAATGTCTGATGTGCTCTAATGCTGCTTTTATATACTAAATATATTAATTTATCACATTTTTTTGCCTGACTGCCTACATGTGACTAGGTAGGACACAACAGCTTTTTCAGTAGGCTGGGGGGAACTTCTCCCTTGTCCTTTTAAGCAAATACATGTTTCTTTCATTGGCAATGCAGATACATAGAAGCATGTTTTTAGAAAATTAGATGAAGTTAGAGGCAGTCACAGAGTAAAACTTTAGTACATTAATGCACAATTAATGTCACAAAAAGACACTTGTTCAATGTAATCACCAGGCTTTACAGAAGTAGGAAGTGACATTAGTTCTCTTTTTCCTTTGCTCAGCCCTTTCAGTGGAGTGTGTGGTTGGTTTGCAGTGTGACCTGAGATACTTGATGCTTCTGAAACAAAGAACTGGACATATTTGGCTTTCTTCTTGTCTGTATTTTCTAATTCATGCAAAGCTAAAAGCAGCCGTGCTACAGATAGGAGCATAAATAACAAGGTGTAAAGGCATCTTTCAAAAGTAATAGCTTTCAGTGAGAAGTTCTGGGTTGTTCCCTTCAGACCTGGAAAGAAGAGTGGATTTGCTTGACCCTCATTTACTGTCCACATAGGAATGAGCTTTTCTTTAACAGCTCTATTTTTGTCTCATCTCCTCGTGCATTCTAATGTACTACGCATCTAATAAAGAGCTAACACTGGATAGTCAGCAGCTTTCTCTAATCCTTGCTAACATATCTCCTTATTAACTCCACCTCTTCCTCCTCTCTTCACGTAGCCCCTGCTGGCTCGGCTGGCACTGCTCCCCTTCCTGCTACCTCTGCTCCTGCCCCCACTCCTCCTGCTCCTGCCCCTTCCTCTGCTGCCCCAGATGCCGCTGCTGCTGCTGCAGGAGCTCAGCCCCTTGCTGATGGCTTCACCTCTCCAACTCCCCCTGCTGTTTCTTCCACACCCTCTACAGGTGAGTGTCTGCTCCAGCTGGTGGGCAGAGGAACCCAGGTGTGATCACAGTCCAAGGCTTTTCAGAGTTACTTCAGAAGCAGTGACCTTTTTTAAATTATTTTTTGAATATAACTAGAAAGTATCTGCTAATACCCAACTATAAGGTAATGGCTACAGTAGACAATTTGAGGTATGCTAGTTTTATAAACAGCAATAATTTTATCATTTTATGTTTACATGTATATAATTATTAGAATTTTATTACAGTTTGGATACTGAGAATCTTACAGAATAATGATGTTGGGGGAACCAGCACTGATAGTTCTGAGTATGGTTGTTCTCTTTCAGTAATAGAATAAAAAAAGTGCACCTAGCAGAGTAAAATTTGTATGATTTGTCTCTTCAATGCTTTCAAATGACAGGTCTCCTTTCAATGAATTGTTAAAAAGGGCAATTTTTTTTTTGTTTGGTGTCAGGTAAAATACAAATTTTTATTATGCAGAATAGTGCTAAAGCATTTTGTTTTAATATGTGGTACGTGTGGTGTATATTGAAAATTACTTTGTTTTAATGCTTATGAAATTACCCTACACTTTTTCATTTTCTCATATGCTGAAGTTGCAGCATAACCATAACACTGTTCTGTATCAGCTTTTGAATGGGGATTTCCACCTGCATTGTAAAGATCTCCTTTAGGCAGCCAAATTAATACAGAGTTACCTGCGAGCTTTGTTACATTGTTGTAGTGGAGGCTGATCACAGTGGTCTGAAGAGGTTTGTGTGTTTATTAGTGGTGGTGTCTCTTAGTAAGAATTTCACCAGGTGCCAGAAGCATTCCTGTAATCATATTTAGTTTAAGGTGCTGTAGCACATACAAAATGAGAAAATACTTATGCTAGAATCTGTGACTCTGCCTAGAAGCTTCCAAACTCTAATGAATTTTGGTATTAGAAGATGATCCTGATGTCTAAACTACTTCCATGATTAGATGATGAACTGTGTAATATGGGGCCTCAGTCAGTTTTCCATTTTTGGTACACTGTCAGTATTCTACTTAAGCCATATTGCTTCTATATTTTTGACAAAATCAAGCAGAGTTTAATATTTTAATGGCTATAAATTCACATCCACAATCCCCAAGAGAAATTCCAGGTTACTTATTAGTTCTGATTATCTTTTGTTGCCCTGTGCTATTAGTGAGGTTGCTTGCATGGCCTCTCTGAAAAAAAGTGTTTGAAGAGACTGGATAGTTTACCATGTATGAGGTGGTAGGTTTTGGTTCTGAAGGATTTCTTATGCCTCTTTCTTCTCTCCTCCTTTCTTTCTTTACCAGTGCATTAAGAAACAGTGAGACAGACACACTGGAAAGATGCATTAAGAAAAATGTGAAAAGGCTATATACTAGGAGGATTCCTTTGTAGTAACTCCTCTTCTTCATCTGTAAAAAGTGCATTTTTTGACATGTATCTCTACAAAGCAGGAGGAATGTGAATTTCTAGTTTATGCTTTTGCTCTTAGAAGCAAGTAACAGAGCAGCAAGCAACTTGCATTTTATTTACTGAGCTAGTGTGAAGCTTTGCAAAGGAATCCAAGCAGAGTGGAGAACAGTGCAGGTTTTTAAAAACACATTCCTTTGTTCTGCTGCCCTGTTTACTTCCTTCCATGCGTATCTCTTCAACCACAGTGACCACCCCTTCTTCCCTTGTTTCCTTGCATTTCTTCAGGGATTTACTTCTAGCACAAATGGTGGAGGCAGAATAGTTAGATAGGGTAATAACTCATATGGGTATAATAAGTCCAGTTTACTATTATATACAGCATATAAAGCAAAGAACTTCATTTGAGCTCAGAAGAGAGCTTAATGGTCTTGCTTCCTTTATTGCTTGTTTAGAATCAGGATCAGTTACGTTGATGCAGGGAGTGATTAAAATGGAGAGCAAGTTTTCAAGGAGTTGTTTCAATTGACAGCTTCTTGAAAGAAAGGGCCTTTGACTATGATTTCATTTATTCCAGAGGAGTTTCTAACATTCTCTTCTCCCCAAATGACTGCATATTTCCTGAATAGCACTAAGACAGTTAGTATTGTGCTTTTCCAACTGTAGAAGGTAACAGCTAGAAAGTTAGTTTCGACATATGTGATGCTTAATTGCTGGACTGTGAAGTGTTACTTTTTTGGAGGTTTGTAAAATAACTAAATTTGCAAGAAGCTATTACAGTGCATTAGATAAAATGGATAACTTGGAATTATTTTCTTTTATACTGAAGCTTTGTAGCTTAGACACCTTTGTATTTGGATTTTGTGAGCAGTGCTGAGTAGAGGCAGTTGGGAGAGTTGGTTTTTGTGTTGCTATTGAGACATCCAGTGTCCTGCCAGCCTTGCAGCTGAACTGGCTAACAGCTCCTAGGATGCAGATGTCTTTAAAAAGACTCAAAAACCTTTCCAAGCCTTTGAATCTTGAATGCAGATATAAAAAAGGCAATCATCATTCTTCTCTTTGCTAATACATTTCTCTTTCTAACCTAGGTCACCCAGTTCAGTTCTACAGCATGAACAGGCCTGCATCTCGTCACACCCCCCCAACAATAGGGGGGTCTTTGCCATATCGGCGTCCTCCTTCGATCACATCACAGACAAGCCTTCAGAACCAGATGAACGGAGGGCCATTTTATAACCAGAATCCAGGTAAGAAAGGTTTTTTTCTGCTCTGTCGAATTCAACACAGAGGTGAATGGAGAGGCCTTCAGGTCTCTGAAATCGTATGTTCTGTCTCCAGTGCAGATCTTGCAGTTAGTCTCAGGTAACTTTCTCTACCTTGCTGGTAGCCATGCCAAAGCTGCAGTCAAAGTATACAGTGTTCAGCTTCCATTACGCCAAGCAGTTTGAAACAATACTGGCTTTGCTGCCAAATAAATTACTTTTGATCTCACAGTTGCTATTGGAGAAGCTTAAGCCCTTTACTACACCATGTGTCATGTATCTGCTTTGTCATGGATGGGTATTTGACATTGCACTAGCACACTGATTCTTCATTAATCAGTCTTTATATTGTATGCTTTTTCCTTCTGATTAATGGTCAGTTCAGGAAGTTGTGTTTGTTATACAGGGGTAAGCATTAGACACCTTAGAGTCAATGTGGTGCTTGGTATGGGATACAGGGGAGCTGTGTCATCTGCTAAGTCCACAGGTGATGCTGTTTTAATAGACGACTGATCTTAAAAAGTAGAATGAGAACATGGATTCCATAACGAGGAGTGGCATGTCCTGTGTGACAGGCTTAACACAGTAGCTTTTTATCTAAGGAGTACTTTTCCTGCATTTCTGATGTGACATGAAGGTTTTGATACCAGAGTAAGGGAGACTTTTACCAAAGCTATGGAAAGATGCAGGGGATATACTGAAGGTTCCTTGTTAAGAAATGACCTATTACCAGCAGGTATGTTGACTTGGAAATACCACAGTACATTTAAGTTTGATGGTGGTGGTTTGTTTTGGTGTTTTGTGTGTTTGGTTGTGTTGTTGTTTGGGTTTGTTGTTTTTGTTTTGATTTTTTTGTTTGTCTTTTTTTCTGTTTTGATTTGTTTTCTTTTAATTGAGCGCTGAATTTGGAATTAGGTCAAATGCTGCAATCTGCATTTAAGCAATTTGATCACGTTCAAATATTACTACTTGTGAACTACCCCGCAGAGATGTGTGTGTTTAACATGAGAAGGAAATGGATGATCCTGCTGGGGACAGAGGGGTGGCGAAGGTATATGACTAAATTGCAGCCCATTTTCCTGAAATACATGGTGCTGTTAAGCATGTTATGTGCATATTGAAGGCTGTTGGGGAATGGACAAGAAGGAAAGGGTAATAGCAATAAAAGAAACTTTCAGGATTACCTTAGCAGTAAAGAGGATTTTTAGTATATCCAGTGAGTTTCTGACAACTGCTGTGCTTTTTTGCTTTAGCAAAGGGAAAATTCTTTTCAAGCCACCATTGCATTGTTAATAGGTAATCATAGAAGATGCCAAATAGACTTTAAATAAGTTACATAACCACAGTTCAGTCTGCATACTGAATTGTGGCTAAGAAGATAATGATTATCGTGATTAGTCCCTTGAGCAGTAACTCAAAAACGTAGTACTTAAATTATACTGGCATGCTTGGTACAACAAATAAGCAGTTGTTGTAAGAGACTTTTGTATTTT